ATGTTTTTCCCGCCGCCGCAATTTCCGGTCGTCCCGGTGGCACTGTGCAGACTGCCATGRTAATTATTWTACCAATAATKAYAATAATTATAATTTACCAATAATGATAATAATAACTATTATTAATAGGTACTATTAATATTCGGYGTAGTAATAAAACTGCAACCAGCYCAGGCCCKTAAGGGTTTCTTCCGGYTCGTCGATCGTACGTAATGTCATGTCATTATCGTCGTCTCCGATCGGAACCATCCCGTCACATACCGTCTGCACATTATGTGATTTATTATATTATAATACATCGTACATGCGTAATTTAATTGTGCATCTGATTATCATACAATAGTAATATTAATACGTCGACACGCCTGCAAAAAGTGCATTATTATATTCTTATCGTCTGATCGATAGCACCACGATTTGAAATGTGTAGGTTAGCAGTGTTAGCACTTATGCCGGGTTGCATATCGATATAACAGACAAAGACAGTCATACACATTTCATGTATCTGCAATTATTATTGAAATGAGCTACGTCTTTAGAGACCACTTTAGACATGATTTAGTGGCTAGCGATTGGTCTATTCGATTTTATAGCGAACCACATTTAAAAATGAGCAGTTGATTTTTTTTTTTTATGTAACTTGGCATAAAATATGTATTTACTTTCTCAGCTCCTATGATATTATATCATACTTTAAACAGTTACCACTAAAACACTTTTATCGTTCGTCAGTCGTCCGCCATCATATTTTATATCATGATGATATATTATTATTTTATTATGATAAAACCTCGTTAGGTACATTTTTATGACGACCGGCGTGACAGACGTCTCTGGGACTAAGGTCACGGGCGCGTGTCGAATATTACATTATAATTTTTACTAGAGACTTGGGTAGWGATGGTATATATGTTTGGCTTAATTATAGTACACGAATTCGCTTTTTGTGGGTACACACCGGTTGCAGTGAATATTCGCATTTGCTCGGAATTCGATTTGCAAATCGTAGTTCTAAATAATATACGTCTGCTATAGGTATATCTATAGACTTCGTYGGCTGTATGGGATTATAATGCGTTTCGTAATAATAAAAATATTTTTAATATTTAAWCGCCATTGGAAAATAAAATTGTCTTCATCGATATGGGCACCACCACGACCGCGAGTTTAGTAAACAGCTTAGTAGGTACCTACCTAACCTACCTATGTTTTATTTATGAAATCGTTCAATAGAAAACACAGTAGGTTTATCATAATAATAATATGTAATATGTAATAATATATTCATTCATACAGAATCGTATTTTAATTTCGTCTACGTTAATATTCGCTCCGAACCCCCACAACGCATATTTACAATTATGTAAAACCATTTCAATCACACTAGAAAAACAATTATTTATTTCAACAATACATAATCGTTAGTTTATTGAMCTCAAAATAAATATATAATTTAACTTAATTTATGTGCATTTATTGAAATTATAAGCACGACCTACTTATAATCGAAAATCGTACTTAACCGTACGCACAAAATATAAATATTTATACAAATTCATATATTGAGAGGCGTATATCGCAGTTAGTACCATCTTCTAAAAATTAAATTTTCCCCTTAATTAAATTAGCTTTTAACGTCACCACAATACTTAAATTTAATTTGATGGAAGTGTCGTATTACTACTCAACAGTATATCAATCAAATTATTTTGAATTTATTGCATTACAACAAATWTAATATTGTTTATAATATTATGTATCTTAATCATGTGTATATTTTATAATAATTGATAAATGTTAGTCTTAAATAACTATACACACTTTAGCCCTTTATATTTAAAATTCATAAGTATCRAATAATATTTTTTATACATTTATTGTATTTCTTATCGACTATCCTGTTGTATGGCCACCTCATCATTCGAAAATAAATTGTTATACTTAAACTATATCAATAATATATTATATAATGCCATTGATTGATAGAAACATAACAATATTATGAAACTAAATTTCTCAACATCTTTAAATTTACAATCACTGCGAGGAACCTACAAATGTACTCATATATACTCGCACGAGTATGAGTGTGCGTGTGTGTGTGTGAAGAGTGTTTTATAATAGGTAGGTTTATGACTCATGAGTTGAAGTCTAATATTATAATATTATTGCCAAATTATAGTATTATCTATTATTTATATTTTTAATATTTAATAATATTMTAAGTTAAATTATTCAGCGAATTAATATTATTTWAAAAATATTTTTAACATGAGTAACAATTAAAAGTGAATCTTATTAAATTGTATTACCCGATGTTTTATATTAATTGTAGTATTCTCTTTCAGGTAGGTATTTAAATTCAACTCAATAYTAACACACGAACAAAACGGATTTTATTATGGAATACTATAATATATTTGTATTTCTTATAAAAATGCATAATTTATTTAAATTACTTTACTTATTCAATAAAAATTGAAATATCTCCTCGATAAAATAAAAATAAGTGTTTAATGTTTGATAAGGTTGTTATATTTGAGATAGATTTACATTGTTCTGTATTTATTTTACAGATAATTTATTTGATAAATGATCAGATATACAATATGTATTTATCTACATAGCACCTTAGTCACAATATTTAACTCGCACTGAAATAGTTATATAACTAGTGTTGAATTTATATTATGTATTACGTGTTAAAAAATAAAATAAATATGGAGCAAGGTCAAAACCTGACAATTGTTTTAAGAAATTGTATCCTTGAAATGTGCACACAACTACAATTTAATTGTCAGCAATAAACTACCATCGATCTTAAATATTTAATAAAATACGATCATCGTGGTATTCAGGAACTCGATTCATGATAGAGACACTATAAGTAGTACAACTACTTACTTGTACCTATACGTACTAAAATTTAAAAAGTACATTGGTTAAAATCATACTACCTTTTCAAGTTTGAAAGTTGAATGTCCCCGCCATAAATCGCGTTTATGTCGTAATGTTTGGTTGAATATTTGTAATTAAGAAATATTAATTCCATTCGAAC